TGCATGTTAAACTATGAAGTTTTATTCCAAATTGCTAAAGTTACAATTTATGTTGTTGACACGAATCTCACTAAGACTCCAGAAGAGCTTGAGAAAACTGACTCACACCTAAAGATGGAATTTGAGATGAAGGATCTTGGGAAACTTGTTTATGCCTTGACTTGAAGTTGAAGCATTGTTCTGATGGTATTTTGGTCTACCAGTCAAACTACACCCCGAATGTGTTACCTTTGAGTATACCTTTAATCGTCCATACGTTATATGCAAATGAGACCCTTGAAGAAGTTATGGAATTTGAAATTCCATATTTGAGTTCAACTTTGCGCTTCGTTGTACTTAGCTCATTGTATTTAGACAGGACATCTCTTTCGTTGTTGATCTTAGTAAAGATGCAGCATTGTGCCTACACGCAACCACTGAATTGGTATTAAAGACGTACCCTGAAAGTACCACGAGGGCAAATCCCAATGCATCTTGAGCAGATCCAACCCCTCTGATCCTCAGAAAGATGCTTGTCTTGTTTGTTATGCTGACGCTGGTTACTTATCAAACCCGCATAAGGCAAAATCCTCAAATGGTTATGTCTTTACCGTTAGGGATATCGCAATATTTTGGAGGTCCACGATATGACCTTAGTTGCGAAATCTTCGAATCGTTCGAAGACTCACCTTACTTCACTACGCCACAAGTGAGACATGGTTAGGAGTTCTTGATGAGCATATTTGAAGTACTTGATGTGTTTTCATCCATTGTTGAGTCCTAATGATGATCCATAAAGATTATGCCGCATGTATCGACCCGACCGAGCCATGATACATCAACAAAGTCAACGCCAAGACATACCGTGTCTAAATCTACATCAGCAAAGCATCAGAAAATTGAAGTCATGCAAGCCGATCCCAGACAACCTTGTTGACCTTTATTCATATGCAATGCTTGTAGTTCTCATTTGAAAGTTATTTCAAACTCAGGGGGAGTATCCAGAAGTATACTCATTTGATCTTAATGTACTTTTTTCTTACTAGGTTTTTGTTACCTAACTAGGTTTTAATGAGGCACCCATCTTGGGTTGATCATACCCTTGAAAGCTCTTCTACTTACATCCAAAAGACGTATAGTTTTGACTTAATGCAACTTCTCACTTTTCTCCTTAAACTATGAGGTTTTCCCCACCTTGGATTTTACCAAAGCAAGGTTTTGTGAGTTTTACTTTTTATGCATTCTTCCATTGATTTGAGACTCGCATTTGCCTATTGTGTCGACGACTTCATCAACTGTACTTACTTCATCACTGAAGACCTGATGCGCCATTTACTTAAGTATTTACACACTCAAGGGGGAGTGTTGCAGTCCTATTAGATTAGGAATGTGATTGTGTAAATCCTAGTAGATATGAGAATGTATCTTATATTCTTATTAGAAGTAGATTACCTATTAAATGTTGTAATCCTAAAGGGAAAAGTTTTACCTATCCCACTACTATAAATAAAGGCACAATGGGTGGAATAGAACACACCCACAATTACACATCTCTTCTCCATTGCCGCACCTTTCTCTCTCTCTATGGCCTCCATAATTGTTTAGTAAATTATGCCTACAACAAATTATTATTTTTCTTTTTGTTTTTTGTACTTGAAGAAACTACTAGAACAAATGAAGTGTTGGAAATAAAATATGAGGTTATAAATAGGCAAAAGTGAGAAGGAGAACATTTGTTAGAAATCGAAGTGGAACAGGAGCAACAAATACAGGTAAAGAGAGAGGAGGCAGATTGATATTATCACTTTCACTTTTGATCTTGTATGTTAAGCTAAAGATACAAACATACCTTTTATATATAGAGGTATTGATCCGACAATACTTTACATGCATGAAGAAAATTTTATATACTACGATAGTGAAAATCAAACTTATACCATTTAAGTCTACAATCTTATCCTACAAACTTGACTAAGTTGACTTCAATTTCTTCCAATTTTAGTCCAATTATGTGGGCATTCACATTTTTACAACACTCCCCCTTGAATGCCCATATCAATATCGGTTGCGTCATTAAAAACTTACTAGAAAAACCAAGTGTGAAAAAATTGTAGCAAAGGAAAAAGAGTACAACTTTGCTTATATTATTGATATAATGTTAAGTACGCTGATGTTGTCTTGTTAAAACCTTGATAGGAAAAACCTAATGGGGAAAAATCATAGTCCAAGGAAAAAAAGTACATCATGCATATGTCCTGGATGCTCCCCTTCATGTGTATTTCCCATTGATTATGCATTTTCAATTTGACTCATTAATAAGTAGGCGTAACCAACACCATGCAAGAGCTTCTGAAATGTACACTTTGGTAGATTTAGTGAACAGGTCTGCCAGATTGTCACTGGAACGCATTTGCCTAACTTCAATAACCTTAACTTTCTAAAGCTTAGGTGCACTGAAAAACTTTGGAGATATGTGTTTGGTTTTATCCCTTTGATGGATCATTCCTTCATTTAAGCAATACATGTAGCATTATCTTCATGAACGATAGTTGGAGTGTCTGTTTTTAAAGATAGACAACATGAATTTTGGATGTGGTGGATCATTGATCTTAACAAAAAAAGTTCACTATTGGCTTCATGGAGAGCAAGTATTGGAAGATGTAGCAACTAATGTTTGCTTCGTTTAGCGCCATGAGATCGCTGTATTTTCATCTGTGAACACATATCTAGTTTTTGAGAGCGCTTTGTGAATCAAAGAGAACACCAACCTCTATATATCCAACAATATTTTGGTCATTTGTGGGTTTCTTGGAATAGAGGAGGCCTATGTCTATTTCCCCACAAAGTAATCGTAAAACATCTTCGACTCCTTTTCAATGTCGAAGTAGAGATATATGTTGCTAACAAGTTGACTGCATAAGGCTATATCTGGTCTTGTTCATTATGTTAAATACAATAAAGCACCTATTGCACTTAGCTATGGTACTTCTGGACCATTCCTTTTTATCATGTTCTTTTGGGCGAAATGGAAATTTCTTTATCTCAAGAGATCGATGAACCATTGGCGTGCTGATTGGATAAGCTTTTTCCATACCAAATCGCTTTAGGACATTTCAATGTAAGTTGATTGATGGACCAAAATTCCATTAGCATAATGCTCAATCTGCAGGTTAGGACAATATTTTGTTTTCCCAAGGTCTTTCATTTCAAATTCACTTTTCAAATATTCAACAGTTTTCTTGAGCTATTTAGGAGTTCCAGCTAAGTTCATATCATTGACATATACGACTACTATAATTGAGACAATTATACCACATTCATCCAATATTTAGCCTATATAATAATCACCTTAATTTGATTGAGAGCATATCTTGTGGTCTGTTTGCCGTTTCAAGCAACTTAAGTCCTTCTGGACTTTCATGTAGATACTAGTATCTAATTCTTCATACAGATATGCAATGATGATAACACACCTCGATCTCAATGTTCGAGAGACAACGGGATGGCCACGTGTTGGGCAACACCCAAGGGTGACGCAAGCTATTTAATGAATGCATATGCTGAGAACATGTGAAACATGCATATAAATTTCGCGTGAACTACACAATGTAATATTCATAAATCCGTTAATGTGAAAATACACTAAATTTGGGATGGGGTTTCACAATCTACCTCTTTAAAAGAATTTTGTCCCCAAAATTATAAATAAGTACGAATACTGACTCCTCATCAGTTCTTACATTTCCCAAGTCACTTCCTCGATTGCATGGTTCATCCATAACACCTTTACTAACGGAATGACTTTGTTCCTTAGAGTTTTATCCTGTTGGTCGATGATCGCCACTGGTTCCTTAACATAACTCACGTCTTGACTCACCTCTAACGGTTCTGGTTGAATAACGTGATTCGGTAGGGACCAACATATTGAGGGCTCAACTTCCCTCGCTTACCAAAATGAACCACACCCTTCTAGGGTGATAGCTTCAGAAAGACAAAGTCACCAACCTTATACTCATGATCCCTAGAATGTCGGTCCGCAATGCTCTTTTGTCGATCTTATGATGCCTTTAGATTCCTCTTAATCAACTGGATGTTAGTATTAGTGGTGTCAACAATTTCTGGCCCCATTAACACTCGTTCACCTACCTCAATCCAACACAATGGTGTCCGACACTGCTTCCCATATAATGCCTCAAATGGTGTCATGCTGATACTTGAGTGGTAGCTGTTGTTGTAGGCAAACTCGATTAATGGCAAATAGCTATCCTAACTACCCTTCCACTGGAGAACAGACACTTTCAACATGTCATCCAAAGTCTGAATCATCCTCTCAGATTGACCATTAGTCTGTGGATGATAGGCAGTGCTGTACAACAATTGAGTATTTATAGCATCATGGAACACTCTATAAAATCTAGAGGTGAATCTTGAATCTCTGTTCGAAACAATGGTGATGGGTACACCATGACATTTAATGATATTATCGATGAACAATTGTGCCAACTTCTCCAATTTGTAGGTTTGTCGAACAGGCAAGAAATGAGCAGTCTTGGTGAGTCGATCCACAATCACCTAAATGCCATTAAACCTCGATCGCGTGCTCGGTAAACCATACACGAAATCCATGGTTATGTCTTCCCACTTCACCTACTGGCAAATTATACATCTCTTCACATAATTTGCCATATCCCGTTTCATTTCATACCAGTAGTAGAAGGGACGGATCGTGTGATACAATTTTGTACTCCTCAGATGCATGGTATACACCGAAATCTGGGCTTCATCAAGCATTTAAAACGGATTGACTAACAGATGTATGAAATTGAAATAAATAATAAATAAATGTATCAGGTAGAAATGTTTTAAAGTTGTTGTATGAGATTGCAATTATACTCATACTTGAGGGGGTAAACAGTAATTTACCCAAATAAAAACTTGAGGCTCCGTTGCGTTTTCGACTCGAGCGTCTCCTCTCCTGGTTCCTTGTGCTGCTGCCTCCACTTCTCCCTCAGTCGGTCAGTCCCTCTCTTCCTCCTCCTCTTTGAGCTTCCTTGGACGGCTGGAATTTTCCATCTCCCTCTGGAAGACTCTAATTTTTGTTTTCTTCTTTCTTTTTCTTTTACTCTTCTTCATCTCATAATTCAATTTCCGAATTCTAATTTAGGGATTTAGGAGTTGGGCATTTTTTAGAATGGATAGGTGTGCTTTATTTGTAATTTGTAAAGAATCTGAGTTTTAATTCACATGATAACTGATAGGATTGTTATCTAATTGATGTATCATGTTTGAATTCTGTTGGCAGCTCAGTAATCTTTTTCCTGAATTCTAATTGATTATCAGACTAAGCTTGCAGATTTGGGGTTTTCAGGTCAGTAAGCTCTCTATTCAAAATTATTGTGATAGTCAATTACTAGTAGTAATCGAAATCAAAATCCCAAGCCAAGAAAAGAGTGATGGTCAATCATCAACTCAACAGTCTTCTCCGTGTGTACTCAGTTCATGTTTATTTGTTTTCTTGTTTTTGTCTATAACTTTGTATGCGTTTTGAGGGGTATAGCTCATTATGTTCCCCCTGACTAGTTGTATGTTCTTTTGCTGGTCATTGGAATTTACTCATACTGTCGAATTTTGTTCTTGTACAATTGGGGAAGTATGTTGGCTTAAAAGTTAGCCCTATGAAGTTTTGAATCCTGGGTCTGTGATCATGTTATATGTATATGGAATGTCTTACTGAGACATAAAATTCTTTTCGTGGATTTAAATTTGCTGATAAGGATATGATATACTTGCATTTTTCGCAAGTAGTAAAGATGGTTAGGTCTTTTAAGAAAATATCTTATTAAACTGATGCGCAAAACAATTCTGATTTACTTCATAGCTATCCTTCTTCTTTTTCAGGCGATCGGTCCTCAAGCTTTAGATCCTAACTCATCCGAATCAAGTTTTAAATGCAATTTGAGGATATTGTGTTACTCTTGGAAATAGAGTAGTCATATGTTTGTTAAAGGAACCACGGTTGAGATTTGATGAATGGTGCTTCAGCATCTAGTAGCTTAAGATCAGCTTTCTCATACTGTGTACAGCAAGTCCGTAGTTATGATTACCATAACTACCTTTGCCTGCTTGAACTCCCGCCTCACATGCGGAAGGTTGCATTTGCAGTCCGTGCCTTAAATGTTGAAACAGCTCGTGCTATGGATGTTGCTTCTGATCCCAGGGTTGGTCTTATGCGCCTTGTCTGGTGGCAAGAAGCCATAGATAAGATCTATGCTAACAAGTTAATTGAGCACCCAACAGCTCAAGCCCTGTTGTCAGTGGTACGCGAGTACAAAATTAGCAAGGGATGGCTAAAACGGTCTGTAGAAGCTCGGATCAATGATGCAAGAAAGGAGGTTGGTGACACCCCAGAGAAAATTGAAGACTTGGAGAAATATGCTGAAGATACAGTATCGACTATTCTTTACATGACACTTCAAGCTGGTGGTGTCAACTCCACTGCAGCCGATCATGCAGCATCGCATATTGGTAAAGCAAATGGGCTTCTTTTGCTGATTAAGTCACTGCCATACCATGGTAGCCGCAACCGGCATTTTTCTTACATACCAATCGAAGTGGCAGCTAAGCATGGATTGTTGGTTAAGCATGGAGGTCAATCGGAGATTCATTTGGACTCTCGCGAGGGCTTATGTGAAGCTGTTTTTGAGATGGCCTCAGTAGCTAATGTCCATTTGCAGAAGGCTCGTGACTTAGCTGGTACAGTACCTGTAGAGGCTCGCCCGGTGCTGCTGCCGGCGGTGCCTGCCCAGATTCTTTTGGACTCACTGAGACAAGTGAATTTTGATGTGTTTGATCCAAAGTTAGCAAGAGGGATTCATGGCATTCCTCCTTTGTGGTATCAGTTGAAATTAAAGTGGCATTCGTGGAGGGGAAAATACTGAAAAGAAATTGCATTTCGCGTACGAGAGTTCTGCTACGGATTATATTCCTTTGCAAGAAGAAACTAGTATACTCATGAGTCCTGGCTAACCAACCTTTCAAGGTACTTTTGACTCCACGTTTTGCTAATAAATGGGAACACACTGTGATTCTTTTTTTCTTAAATTGTTGATTTTGTTTTTTATTCTTTGAAATCCTATCATTTTTACTCGGTTGAAATTGCTGGTTGATTTATTTTTATACAAGCTATGGTTGGGGAGGTGGGTGTTGTATTTTTATGCTGGAATTTCAACATCGTAGGTGAAAGCGAAGAAACAAATAATCTCAAATTAAGAATACAAGAGATTAATGTGATTCGGCGTAAAGTCTGTGTTCACGGGCGAAAGACTGGCGAAGAATTTCACTAGACAAACGAATCACAACCCAAATTTCACAAATTACAAACCCTAAATCAAACGAGTAGAGAACCAAAACAAATTGAGAAGAGTCTCCCATATTGCTCTTTAATTCAAAAACTCACAAGTTGATTCTCACCAAAATACTAAACAAAAGGGCCATGAATTTGCCACAGTCTCGTGACTTTAAATGGTGACCTCCACCAAAAATCTGTTGGAATTGTGTCCTAAAGCCAATCATATGATGATATTTTACGGATATTTCACATATTAAACTAATCTAGTTTAATATAAAGGGCAAAAATTATTGTTTAAAGCTGTCTCATATAAATGTTATATGTTTAAACAATAAGTTCAAGGAATATGTAATTGGGAGAATATGATCTAAAGAAGTTAGATTCATGAGACCATTTTTTTTCGTATACATATCCTAAACGTTCATGATCATAGGATTGCTAATTGGGCATTGACAGTCCGTTAAAATCAGTACGTGCTATGTCTTCTCTTAGAGAGAGTGACTGGTCTCGAGTCATTGGTGTGATTGACACCAAGACAAGCATGTAGGTGCTCAATAGAGAAAAAGTCCACTGAACGCGATCAACAAGGAGTTCTCATACTCATGTCACATGAAAACTCATGAGATAATGCAAATTAGTCCTTTGACTTGAGGCATTATAGTTGTCTTGTGGTTAGGTCTTTGATCTTTGACTATGTAAAAGTCACTTCGTCAAAGGGTGTCCATGACATAGTTGGGGTTAAGCCACTTAGCCATGGAGGCAAGTGAATGCACAACAAGGGATCTTTAACCTTCAAACCGTTTGAGGGAGAATACTCTATGATATGATTAAGAATATCTGGCCAGAGTATGAACGAGATTTATGAATTCGTTCCAAATCACATTCAAGGTAATCATATAAGTAAGAGAATCACATTGGATAGTAGACATGAATAAACTATCAAATCAAACAATGTGGTTAAGAGTATTGTATTAGAGAAAGACCGTATTGCATTGTAATCCCAAACTAAATAGGTTCTCACCTCTTCTGATTAGCTTGGGTAGCCATGACATACTGTTAGGTGTCACTCTTGGTTTGTGGAAGCCCTAAAGGTTTATAATCACTAAAGGGAGAATTGAAAAGTAAGTTTCAATTCACAATTGATTTGAAGAGTTCTAATCGCCCACTGCCTCGCTAAAAGGAACCTAATAGATCGTACACTGTGTATGGTAGAGATTGAAGAAACAACGGAGATGAGTAAGGATAATTAAATGGTTTAATTATTTATGGCTAGGATTAATTAATATGTTAATTAATCAAACAAATAAGTTCGTTTTAGACCTCGAGTTAGTTTTGGGCCTCAAGGCCCAATGGGCTTCGAATGTTAAGTCCAATAACTCAAGTTGTATGACAACTTGAAAACACAAAGGGCATGAAAGCCCAAAGAACCCACATGGCCGGCCATAGAGAGTGTGAGGGAGAATTGGTTTTAATTTCAATTATGCCACTCAATGTCAGTGGCTATAGAAAGGAAATTATAACCCATTCCCTCATAAGGGTTTTCTAGAGAGAAAAGAGAAAAACACAAAAGCTCTCTTCTCTTAGGAGGCCGGCCGCCCTAGGAAGAATGGACTAGCATCGATTTCTTCCTAGGTCACTCATCTCTTCCTTAATGCTTTCCTTGGTGTGGAAACTTAGAGGTTCCCTTTCTTGGGAACTTGGAGAATCCATTCCTTCATCCATATCCAAGAAGTCATGGAGCCAAGAAGCAAAGGTCCTCTATCCACATCCATGGAGCCAAGGAGCAAGGAGACTAAGGAAAGAAGGCCCTCACATGGGTGAATATCCTTTGCTAAGCAAAGAGGTGCTTCAAAGGTATAAAAGTTTCTCAACTATTTTCTTTAATATTTGAGTTGAGTTTTGGTTCACCATAAATATTAGGCCTTGAATTTCATGGGTAAAGTTTTGTTTTTGAGTGCATACAAGCATGATTTCGCCTTTAATTGTTAATTGTATGCATAGATGTTGCTCAAATGAACTTGTTTTCACAAATTATTCCTTCAAAATCCAATTAGAGAAAACTGTCTAAATCAATGGTGATGGCACACAAAATAAACTAATCCTAAGGTCCTACTTATAGTGCATAGGACTTAGGTTACAATGAGAATCCTAATCCTAATTGGAAGCAAATCAAAATCCCAATAAAATAGGTAATTAAAAAAATCCCTCTACCAAGCAAGGAATCCAACCAAGAAGTCAAATTCAAACTCAAATAGGGTACCAAAACGAAATAGGTAACACAAACTTTATGCATCATTCTAATTTTGAGCCGTAAATCACAACAATGAAAACCGCAATTAGAACTTCGTGTGGAGGGGTAACTTCTCTTACAAGCCACTTTCAAATTGTTTGTTCACTTTTATTCTTAGCAAAACTCACTTGGAACAGTGTGCTCTTCCTTCTAAACTTAATAAACTTAGAAGTTTAAATTTCTATCTATGTAGTTTTCCTTTTGTCCTCATAGTTTGAATATCTTTCGTAGTTTTTCTTTTGTCGTCATTGTAATAAAACACTAAAACTAAAACTAAAAAACTACAACTAAAAAGCATTAATCCATCTTGTTATGTGCAATCAAATCATGACCCTACAAGAGCTCAAATAAAAGTTTATTAAATGCACAAGCTAGATTAATCATTGAAAAAAAATATTGCCTGCCTAATTTATTATATTGTTTTTATTTGTTGGTCAAAAGATATATATTTAAACCAACAGGTGGAAAAAAAAAAAAAAATATTGCCTGCCTAATATAATATTGAAAGAAAATATTGCCTGCCTTGTAATCCATGCACATCCTCCAAGTACCTTCTTTCTTCTTTACTAAAAGCACTGGAGATGAGAAAGGGCTATGACTTGGCCTTATAAAACAAGATTCTAGAAGCTCCTTGACACACTTCTCTATTTCAGTTTTCTAAAAAGGACCATACTTATAAGGTCTAGCACTTGGAGGTTTGCTCCCTTCCAACAATGGTATCCTGTGATCATGGGATCTTGATGGAGGTAGTCTAAATGGGGTATGAACAATAAGCTGATATGTTGAACTTGCAGATCACTGTCTTGGAGAGAAGTCAACTGAGAGTGAGTGGATGGAGTTGTGCTTTCTGCACCAACTTGCAAATCAAATAAGGCAACTCATAAGCTATGTTCATGAGTGAGTAACTTGTCCATTTGTAAGGAAGAAATGAATTGAGGCTCTTGGGACTGATGACTTGATATGGAGAAAATGGTATTGCTAACTACAAACTGCATAATCATCTTGACAAAATCCCATAGCACTGGTCCCAATGTCCTCAACCATTGTATGCCCAAAACAATGTCACAACCACCCAAGGGAAGAGCATAGAAATCTAGCACAGTAGCATAATTTTGTATTCTAATAGAAACCTTAGCTAGACAACTAGTACTAGTGAGGGATCCCCCATCTGCAATCTTAACAGTGAATGGGTGTGTGGTATCCAGGTGACCTTTCAACTGTTTAACGAGTGAGATATCAATGAAATTATGCGAGCTCCCTAAATCTACCAAGAAAACCGTAGGACAATTGAATACTAACCATTTGATTTTAATCATTCTGATGGACTTTAGAGCAGGCATCCCATAAACTGCATAGGCAGTAACCTCTGGCTCGTTATTGTCCTTAGAATGATGCTCAATAAGGTCTTCATTGTCATACACATCCATGAGTAACACCTATCGTTTTGGACCAACACAAACATGCTATTTGGAAAAAATTTCATCATAGTTGAAACATAATCTGTTCTTTCTTCGAAACTCAATTTCTGCTGCTTTTAAGGGCCTAAAATTCTGATTTCTTGAAGAATGCTCAGGCTTTGGTGTGTTAGTGACATCAGATAATGGCGTAGGCTTGAACTGGGATGCAGGGGAAGAGTTTTTTGGAAAAGATCAGACCTTTAATTCTGCCAGTTTGGCATCTACCTGTTGAGAATAAGCAATGGCTTCATGAACATCGAATGGTCTTAGAATCTTGACATCATGGCGAATTTTGGTTTCAATCCACCGATATAACAACTTTTCAAGAGTTCAGGGGTCATTTCAACAGTCCAATTTACTAATCGCCGGAATTCCATGATGTAATCCCTTAGCAACCTAGATTGGTGAAGTTTCACCAAGTTTTCAATGCAATCCATGAGGTCAGATGAACCAAATTCCCTGTAGAAAATCTTTGTAAAATCTTCCCATTTAGGATAATTCTAGACGTAGTTAACCCATTGAAACCATTGAAGCACTTTATTCTCTATATGAAAGAAGCCATGCAAATTTCTCGTCAACCGGAATATCAAAGTAATCGAAATAATGCTCTGCCTTGTAAATCCACCCTAAGGGGTTATCTCTTTCCCGGAAGCGAGGAAAATCAAGTTTAACCATGGGAGGTCGTGGTTGAAACCCTGAATCGTGGAGGTGGAATTGTTGGGTTCTTGAATCGTCACACAGATTGGTTTCCGATTGAGTGGCATCTGATGAATCTCCAAGAAAACCCATTTCACATTTTTCCAAAAAATCACGATGAAGCTTCTCAATTCGAGCGTTTGATGAATCTTGACGCGCATCCATAGCGTCGAACCTTTGGAGAAGGGTGTTGAGAGTGCTGTTTATCGCAGCAAGATGATTCTGCAATTCCATGGCTTTCTTCGTCGATGCACGAGTCATACGGCAATCGAGAAGGGATTAAAAAGATCCAGACTGGCTTGATACCAATGATAGATCTTCAAATCAACCTTGACTCAAGAAGCATAGAGAGAGAGACTCTTGAGACAGAAAGGTAATTGCAATTCAATATTATTTTTATCATATCCTTTATGTTACTTACAAAACAGACTATATAGCAACTATCCTAACTACCTTTTATCTAATACAACTGCTACTAACAACTCTATTACAGTATTACAGTTCACACACATTCAAATGATGACATCTAGCACAATCCCAACTGCAATATAACAACCTTTACTACTAATATTCCTATCAGATTCTTATCACATCACATCTTTTATATTTTCTCCGATGTACCCAACCTAACTACGATGAGTGGCAACACATTCTCTCAGTGTTGTCGAAGGTCACTATCCTCTCCACTATGTTTTTATCGTTCTCCTCCACCTCCCCATAATCTATTTTTAGCAGCCCACCCAGTCGCAATTGTGGCCCTCGCAGCCGTTTCGACGACCCATTCGCTAGTTAATATCTTTTTACACTCATTTTTTTAGTACAACGATATATTTTATATTAATGAGAGAGGAGATTTTGACTAAGACGTAACCTAAAATATCTCACTTACAAAGTGATGAGGAATACCATCTTTCTTTAAGGCATAATTACAATATAAATTTAACAAAAAGTTTAACAGACGTAGAGGGATAAATTTACTGGGTCCAAATAAAATTTCTCAATTTTTATTCATCAAATCATTGACTATACATTTAATAATTCGGTTCGATTTATTCGGTTTCGGTTTGGTGTTCGATTTGATTTTTTTTCTTTCAGTTTTTGGTTTTTTGAACCCACCCCTACCTATAAAATCCCAAATGAGATTTTTAATAACACTTTTTTTTGAAGCTCACTTCATAAAGGATTTCAATAATAATCTGAATCATCTATATTTTTAATTCATCATTCATACATGATCAAAACAAAATATTATGCAAAAATAAATAAACATTTATTTGAGAAGAAAATGAACGAATACGTTTTTGCAAATAAACTCTAACATGACTGTCATTTAATCGAACAGTTATATGGTTTCTGACCTAGAGGATTTTTGGTACATTTGAGGGAAGAGTGAAGAGATAGGCAATCAGACTTGGTGAAATAGAATTGCCAAGGATCATATGAGTTTTGATATGACATGTGAATTATTTTGAACATACAATTATCTACACTAAAAGGGTGGGGGAGTGGGCTAACCTTACAATGGGTTAGCAATAATGTAGTTCAAATTTGCCTTTGGTGAGAATCAAATATAAGATCTCTCACTTACAAGTGTAGATGAATACCACTAGACCGTACACTAGTACAAAAACATGTTTGCTCGACGGAAACTTGCGCGATGCAGGAAATTTCGTCGCGCAAAGTATGTTTGTGCAACGATAAGCACAAAACGTCGTGCAAATGGCCTTTGCGCGACGAAGGATGCGTTGTGCAAAGCTGTTTAGCGCGACGTAAGTCAACATTTGTCGCCAAAAACAGCTTTGCACGATGCATACCTTCATCGCGCAAAGTGCCAAACATCGTGCAAGATTTTGGCATCAAACAAAGAATGATTTACCTTTTTTTTTCCCAACTTTGCGCAACGCAGGTGCACCTACGTCGTGCAAAACCGCTTTGTGCGACGCATGACTTCGTTGAGCAAGGTATCGTCGTGCAAAGGAGGTTTACGCGACGTTTTATGCGTCGTGCAAGATTTTGGAGCCAAACCAAGAATTCTTTTCTGCTTTTTTTCCTAACTTTGTGCGATGCAGGTGCACCTACATAGCGCAAAGCTGTTTTGCGAGACGTAGGTGGCGTTGCACAAAGTCGATGACTTTTTTTTTCTGAAATAACCACACTCAGAGGCCTTTTTCTTCACACTTAACCTCTCTCTTTTAGATTCTCTATCTCTCTCAACCCTCACCATCTTCACCTTCAGGTATTGTATTTATTTGATTAATTAATTAACTATTTGTTGATTACATTTATGTTTGGATTTTTTTATTTTTGTGTATTTATGTTTTTCTTTAATTATCTTTGTCAATGCTTATTTTTAACAAGTTGAGTTTTGGTTTTGAACAATTGAATGAGTAGAATGAATGAGTATAAGTATGAAGGATTTTGATAGGTTTAGGGAAACAAAAGCTAAGAAACTGCAAACTACTGAGTTAACTTGATCTAATTTTAGGGATAGGTTGATGTGTGCTCAAAAATGGATAGATTTCATTTCTCACCAAATTGGGAGGAGGAAACTAGAATGTTAGAGATTTAGAGAAGAAGCTTGTTTACAGCTTTGTCAAACCACTGTTCTATTACATGGTTAGTAATAATTTTAGGTGTAGTCTCTACCCCTTACGATTTAGAATATGTGGTCTCATCATATAGGTCCTTAAAAAATAATTTTAAGACAGGAGTGGAAGGGGTAAACAAGAAGTTAAAACTGTGGAACATAGAAATTTTGGGTGATGTCAATATGGAATTGTCCCATTTTTTGGTTTAGAAGGATTAATAGTTTGTAGCTATTTTATTTAGTTTCATTAATTATTGTGATTTAATTTATTTGTATGCACATATTTTTGTACATCAAGTACAAAATTGTTTTGTGTTTTACGAAGTTAATACTACTTAACTTCGTACACTTAGTTCAAGAAAAGCTTAGTTTTCCATTTGAGAATTAGTTGGATTTCGTGTAGTATGATCGATAGAAGGATGGTGAGTCTTTTCTTTTCTATTTGTAGGATTCTTGAAACTATGTATCAGTTTTGGGTTGGTTGATTCTCCCAACTCCTATTAGAATATTGGCCTCACTAGCTGAAATGATATGTACCAATAGACACATTCTTGTGAATCTTGGGTCAGTACATGATTTGTTTATGTGGCAATATAGTTTGCCTGATAGAGAAGTTAGAATGCCATAACTCACATGTCTTTCACTTCGATCTCTTAGTGATTTTGTGGAAAATTACTTGATATCTAATTTTTTGTGGTTTGGCCTTGTCAATTGCATCCATAGTTTTCCCAACTAGTCTAAGGATACCTTATAATTAAGTGAACCAAATTTCATGCATTTGCTTGATTTTTGGACAGGGGATGGATGGTTATCCAATTGAGATTCAAGCACTCTTTTACTTTGCAATGAGGTGTGCCCGACAGCTGTTGAATCCAGAATGTGGTGGCAAGGAGTTCCTTAAGCGAATAGATAAGCGCATCTCAGCTCTTAACTTTCACATCCAGACGTAATACTGGCTTGATTTTACACAGCTAAACAATGTGTACCGCTACAAAACTGAGGAGTATTCCCATACTGCCTACGTCCCTTTGTGATGTTGAGGAACGAATTATCGGTGCTATGTATGCACTATGCAGTGGTCCTAGATTCCACTCTGAAAAGGTGGTATGTCTGTGAGAAAGTTTGAATGCTACTATTATTCAGGGTGTATATTAAGGCTCTAGTCCATATGATAATGTGGGAGAAGAGGAGATATGCTGGGGGATGTCGTTAAGTTGTCTGTTGAATTACTTGGTAAAACGAGACAAAATGATCTGGTTAAGTCCTCACACCAAAATAACTGGATTGCTTTCAACAATGTTGCATGCGAGCGCAAACTTATTGTTCATGATAGTCAAAACTCTTAACATCTTATGGCTTTGCTTCACCTGGCTTTTTCTTTTTGGTCCCTTACAGTTTGTGCTCGTCTCTTTAGCTGGATGGGGGGCGGTTATATATGGGGGTTACAAGCTCTTCACAAAAGGCAAAGAGGACAAAAAGGAAGAGGTACTATGTCTATTTCATTTTCATGTTATAATCTCATGAAACTAAATAATCAATGTGTTTAGTGTCTTGGGGCCGCATCTGAACCGTCAATTCTTAACCCTTGCATTATAAGTTAGGGGTGTGATATCCACACACCTCTTTTTCTCTCACACCCTTTTAATTTTCGGCCGTCGGATCGGATGAATTAAAGAAGATCAAAGGACATAAATTAGTAAGGGGTGTGAGAGAAGTAAAAAGAGGTGTGTGGATAGCACACCCCATAAGTTATAGTATGAATGCAATGTAGGAAGCTCTGTTTGTTGTTGAGAACTTGGCCGCATAAAATGATTTGAGTTGCGTGAGTTGGGTGGATTGTTTGTATGCTATTTATGCGATGTCTTGACGCACGTTTCACCTGCTAGAGGTGTTTTCTTTTGTTCATCAAAGCATTTGATTAGTTGTAGCTCTTGTTGGATGACTTGCATATTTTTGAAACTTTGAAATAAGTGTGCACTAGATGAAGTCTTCCTTGTATGCTTCCTTTTTCTTGCAGAGAGTTGAAGAACGGCCACACTAACTTTCAGGGGACCTGAATATATGTGCAAATAAATAAACCGTGTTTTGGCGTCGGAATATTTGACAATGAGGATGCAATTTCTGATGTTACAGGACACCGTACTTTTTTAGGCAGTTTCTGTTGTACATGGCAACTTTGTAACTACACGGTGCCTGTTCACTTTATCAAATGTTGGTTTTGCTTATAGTGGATATGTTCTGCCCGACGCACCCAAGTTTGAATCCTCCTCCACACCTCATAACACTGAATGGGCAAAAATGGCTGGTCAATTTCTCACCTGCGCAAGCATGCATAAGCTCTGGTTCTAAAGTATAATTTATACCCTGGAATTAGCAAATTAAACTGTTTTATTTATGCTTTGACTATAGACTATTGTCTGTTTGTCCGTCCTAAATCAATATTTTGTTATGCATATGATAATTTTTTTTTTCTTCTCAAAACTGTTACGTATGTGATCAATTCAAAAAATCACTACAATTTAGCTTGTCAAATGAAAAGTTTGATGCGGTAGGTGTTAAGTTCGAGTTATATAAATGATGAGTTTGATATCTAATTATTATAGCTGAATTATTGTGTGATTTAACCGATTCTGTAAACCATTAGGGTTTATTGTTTATGAAGAAAAAAGGTTGTTGTTGGGCTACTTAGTGAATTTGCTATATCATCATGTTCATGTGCCATATTTTGTTATTGCCTAATCACCTGTTCTTGTAACAGTCGTCTTGTTTATCCAATGATGGACCCTGAATTTCAAAGTTGTCTGAGTTAAATTTACCTTACGTACAATCAAGATATAAAGGAGAGGAAATTACTTTGTCACGGCTTGAACTAAAGGTTTCTCTATTAAGTTACTTCTCTTTATTTAGTTAAGTTACTTTCCAACCATTTGCGTTTCAAAACCTCTTCCTCCTCTTAGTCTAGTTTAAAGCAATGTCACTTGTAATAAAGAACAATATAAAACCCAATTAGTCAATATTTATGACATGTTTACTTCAAGTAAAGATACATAAACCGTTGGAGCAAGGGAATAAGCAAAATAAATCTGTTCAACTATGAATAAGCAAAATAAATTTGTTCAACTAGCCACCTAGTTTATATAATTCTTAATTTTTAGATATTAAATTATAAGCTTTCAGGCAGTAGTTGTCCACACCTAGACGGATTTCATTTGCATTAAAACAACAAAATTTAAAAAATTAGAATGATTTGAATTCCCATATACATGTCATTAACTCCAAGGGGTTAAAGAGAGAGATTTGGTTTCTGGTTGTAGTGAATTATCTCATAGCCTTATATGAAATAAAGTTGAGTGAGCAATTTGCGAAAACTTAGAACAAACACAATTGGTTCCGTATGCTTCATCAAGCACAAGGGCAATGCAAAAGAAAGCAAAAGGAAAAGAAAAAAAAAAAAAAAAAAAAAAAAAAAGCTGCTTTGCGCGACGCATGCCTACGTCGCGCAAAACTGCTTTGAGCGACGCATGTGTACCTACGTTGCGCAAAGCTGCTTTTTTTTTTTTTTTTTTTCCTTTTGCTTTTCTTTTGGGGGTTCTTGCATTGCCTTTTTCTTTTATGGTATCTACTTGTGTAAATGTTTTAAATTGAAGATCGAATTAGTTCATTGTATTCATATAGAGTCAAGCAGTGTAGCTCTGAAAAATCATCAAAATCGGAGTTAAAACTACCGTTAAATCGTGCTTTTTCGTTTATAATCGTCGAAAAGTTTTGTTCCGTTACTTGATCTCTGAATGTTTGTTTTTTGCGATTTTTGGCGTACATGACCTTGAAGCATCTGCAAACAAATTTAACGATTCGATCATTGAAACTAGTTTTGTAGAATGTGTTTCCCATCAAAACAATACATTCACAGACACTTAAGAGTTTATTTATACTTTCATCAATTATAACATAAGATTTTGTGGTATCCACTAGTGTAAATGTTTTAAATTGAAGATCGAATTCGTTCATTGTATTCAAATAGGGTCAAGGAGTGTAGCTCTAAAAAATCATCAAAATTGGAGTTAAAACTACCATTAAATCGTGTTTTTTCGTTTATAACCGTCTAAAAGTTTTGTCCTGTTACTTGCTCTCTGAATGTTTGTTTTTTGCGATTTTTGGTGTACACGATCTCAAAGCATGTACAAACAAGTTTGACGGTTAGATCGTTGAAACTAGTTTTGTACAATGCGTTTCCCATCAAAATGATACATTCATTAACATTTAAGAGTTTATTTATACTTTCATCAATTATAACATAAAATTTTGTGGTATCCACTAGTGTAAATATTTTAAATTGAAGATCGAATTGGTTCATTGTATTCATATAGGGTCAAGGAGTGTAGCTCTAAAAAATCATCAAAATCAGAGTTAAAAACTACCGTTAAATTGTGCTTTTTCGTTTATAACCGTCGAAAAGTTTTGTTCCGTTACTTGATATCTGAATGTTTGTTTTTCGTGATTTTTGGTGTACGCAATCTCGAAGCATGTACAAACAAGTTTGATAGTTGGATCGTTGAAACTAGTTTCGTACAATGCGTTTCCCATCAAGTTCAATAGTATATATATTTACTAAGTAGATTTTAATTTATTTATTATGTACTTATAACACTTAAGAAATTGAATGATATATATGTAAAAAAAATTTATTGCGGGTTTTTGTTAGATAAATATATTATTGTGGGGTTGATGTAAAAAAAAAATTGAATTTGAAATGAGTGAAGTCACATTTTCAGTTATTTTTATAATAATTTATTAAAAAAAAAAAACCTTGCGCGACGTCTTAACGTGGTCGTCGCGCAAAACCACTTTGCGCAACGTCAAATTGTATACCTACCTCGCGCAAGTTGTGATAATTTTGGTGGTACCATAGTGAAAAATAGGCGTTTTTTTTTTTTTTAAATTTCCAAGAGTTTCCCGTAGACCTCTCACTTCCCTAATTCCACCTTCTTTCCCGTACACCTCTCACTTCCCATAGATGACCTCTCTATTTCCCGTAGACCTCTCTTCCCTCTCGCGCGCTCATCTCTCCCTCTCCATTTCCCGTAGATCTCTCTTCCTTCTCGCAAGCTTTCGTCTTCACAATCTCGAATCCAACGTGAATCTCGAAGCGGACGCGAATCAAGTTCCAAAATCAAGGTAAGGGTTTCTAATTTTCAATGGGTTTTTGTTATTTAGGCTCAAATTGCATGTTATTTAGGGTTTCTGATAAAATTAGATGTTGGTTCTGGTTTGTAGAGGGGTTGATGGGTTGCAGGTAGAGAGAGGGATCACACTCTCAGTCACTACCAATGCAGCGCCTCAACTGAAGGTCCTTCTTCTTCTTCGTCTTCATTCTTTGGCCGTAAACTTCTCAAAATCCCCAATTTTTATGTAAACAAGGTTTCTGTAAACAGGGTTTAGTTGAAATCGGGTATTTGGATATGAATTTTTTTTTTGCCTTTATTCTTCTTCTCTTCCCCTATACTTCCCAAAATCCTAATTTTTGTTTTTTTATAAGTAATTTTTTTTTATGGGATTTCTCATAATGTCAAATTTCAATGTAATTTTTGTGTGAAAATTTTATTGCTTTTTTATGATGTCGACTTGGTTGATTGACATTTGCTTATTTGAAATGGGTATGTTGAAATGGGTATGACATTTGCTTATTTGAAATTAGTATAACATAAAAGCCTCAAACTGGTTGTTGCAAATGCGAGGAAGATGGAGTGTTGTTAACTTTGCAGCAAGTGACTTCTTTTGTTTGAAATTTAATCTCATGTTTCTTGTATTTTCAAGTCAACATAAACAAACAGAAGAAAGAAGCATTCCAGATTCTTAAACCTGAATTGGATGTGGATCCTGAAAAGAATCCTTATTTTGATTCCGATGTGGGCATGAGTAAAAAAATTTTTGGGCCAAAGAGGATGGAAAATGGACAAGAGATGCTGAGCTTTTAAAATAAAGGTATTTATTGACGGCTCTTTAACCCATTTGATCATTTTTTGAGTTATGTACCTGTCCCTTTGTAAAAAAAATTCCCACCTCTGTACAGAGTAAATTTGGCAAAGCACAATACTTTGAAGTTTGTTGCCTCTTATGATTCTCTTCTTGGGTTGCGAGTGTGCTATTCTATTATGCTAAATATGCATGGTTCTTAAATTGTAACATAACAGAAATTGCCTTTCCTATTACTAACCCTTTTTAAATCCAAGTACTGACATTTTACAACTTATAAGAAAACAAAAAATTGAGAGTGATGGGGCAGCATATAGTCCTACAATGAATAAGCAATTGGCTTTGGAATGAGCATGCTCTTATGAAGGGAAAAGTAAGGCTCACCAGATTTTGTCACCTCAATGTTTGTTTGTATACTTGTTCTTCTATCCTTGATTTTGTAAACAATTCATATTATAAACACAAGCCGTCATTAATCAAAACAAATCCAAAAGAAATCTGGTCTAAAGCAAAAGCTATAAAACGAGCATAGTGACATGTAAAGCTTAAAGTGAGAATGATAAAAGGAGTCGATGTTCACTTTGAAAAAAAAAGAAAAAGAAAAGGAGAATCTGCATAATAAGTGGACAAGAACTGGGGGAATTCTTTCCTGCAACTTCATAGAAAAAGGACCTCTCTTTCATCTGAAACTTTTCAATTGAAGAGTTCATTCCTAACATATAAATAACATGAGATGAACCTACACCTCTAAATATGAAGGATGATTAACTCTAAAGCCGTTTTCAATTTCCTAGGGCTTGCCTTATGAAATGGTTTGATAGCAATTAAATAAAATGTCATTGTTTCTTTTGCGGCAGCGTTTTTTATTATAAGTCCCACTTATCTTCTTAGAATGAATTTCCTTCTTCTTAGTATAACCTTGGCAGCGTTTTTGATTATAAGTCCCACTTATCTTCTAAGAATGAATTTCCTTGTTCTTCGTATAACATAAAAGCCTCAAACTGGTTGTTGCAAATGCGAGGAAGATGGAGTGTTGTTAACTTTTTAGCAAGTGACTTCTTTTGTTCGAAATTTAATCTCATGTTTCTTGTATTTTCAGGTCAACGTTAACAAACAGAAGAAAGAAGCATTCCAGATTCTTAAACTTGAATTGGATGTGGATCCTGAAAAGAATCCTCATTTTGATCCGGATGTGGGCATGAGTAAAAATTTTTTTACGCCAAAGAGGATGGAAAATGACAAGAGATGCTAAGCTTTTAAAATAAAGGTATTTATGGACGTCTAAACCATCCCTCAATTACAAAAAATCCCATACTGTATGTTTGCGTATTTCTAAGGGAACTACTTGCATGCCTACAATTTCAATCACGTATATTGAAGAATTTGATGATACTTATTTACGAATAAAGAACAAGATATTAAATCCATGCAACCAAATCCTAAAAATAGTCCCAGTTTTCCCTTACTTTACGAATTTCAATGAAGATATGTACTTTACAAATTCCAATGAAGATATGTTGGGGCTGCACGCTTTTGTGTCGTTCTCAGCACAACCACTTCAACATATTTCCCCTTACTTTTTTAACCCATTTGATCATTTTTTGAGTTATGTACCTGTCATTTTGTAAAAAAAATTCCCACCTCTGTACAGAGTAAATTTGGAGAAGCACAAGCCAAAGAGCAAAGCAGTGTTGGATATAAATCCAATATGATAGAAGTAAGAGAAAGAGTTATCACCAAAGAAAAATTAAAGGATCCAATTCCAGAAATCAAGTAGTGGTAAGTAGATTGCCTTTTCATTTGCTGTGGCATCTGTCTGGTTGAATGGCTTGTATGAAGTAAATTGTTTTTGTACAGTACTTTGATCATATCAATTAGTCTAATGAAGTTTTGATACCTTTGATTGATTACAATGTTTGGTAATCCTAGTGTCGGATTACAATGTTACCCATTTTTTTTTTGTTTCACTTGATGTACTTGTTGGCTATGAAAATGGATAGGTAGTTTCCTCATGTTTTGAAATTAAGAACGTTGGTAACCTACTTACTTACTACTTTGGCTACTAATTGATTAGTTTCAAATGCAAGAAAGGATTAGTTTCTAATGTTATAATTTTATGGTTCAAAAAGTGTATAGATGTCGCGGTTGATCACTCGTCGTCGGAGTGTGACCAATGAACCTCCTGCATTATCAACATTTACTGCTCCAGGCGTGAGTGCTCCATTGATTGGGGAGCCTACACCCCTTACTGAGGCTACTCCTATGGCGTCCCAGGTGCCCATCTCATCAACATCATCAGTGTCGGTTCAGCCGCTTAGTGCACGACGGCCTCACTGACACCGCCACAAGCCGGAGCCTTCTGATCACACTTCCTCGGCATCTAGAGTCGAGGGTGAGGCCTCACAGCCAGGTAGTTTTTTCTAATTTTCAATCACTACGTTGTATTTTTCTTTTATCATTTTAAAATTATTATTTTTATGATGGTGAAAATTTACTGGAACGTGAAAATGTGATGGGGGTTATGTTGAATTTTACTATTTTAAGGTTTTGGGAAATGCTATACTATTAGGGGAGGTTATGTCGAATTTTCTGTACAAATTTAAGCTTAGGGATTTCACCATTTAATTATTTTTGGCCAGCTAAAAAAAACGCCAAGGGGCCTAGTCGAATGTTGAAGGAGGCACAGAGCGTACGTCTAATCGGCTCCAGGATCAAGATTGAGTATGACCCGTGACATCGTGGAACGGCTACCTCACAACAGCATAACAGCGTCGCTAGTAGTTGTGGTGTTGTTATTAAACAAAATTGTCCTATGCAGTGGGAGTCTTGGGCAGAAATTCCTGAGGGGACGAAGAAACTAGTGCGAGAAAACTTGTCGGTTAGTGTATTAATTTTTAGCCTTTATCATTTTTTTAATTTTGTTTACAAATATTAAAAACCAAAATATATTATCTTAATATTATTAAATTTCTTACTATTATTTTATTATTTTTCATATTCGTAGGTCAATTTTGATCTTGACGACATATCCCCTGAGGTCATGGCCTACTTAGAGGAGACCTTAGCAAATCGGTACAAACATTGGAAGAACTATCATCACATGCATTTTAAGCTATGGGATGATCCGGAGTTTGCTCGCCTACATGGTTGCCCAATCGAGTTGCAGGACCGGCCGGAGGATTGGAAGTGGCTCTGCAAACATTTTACGGACCCAAAATTTGTGGTATGTACATAATATTTTAATAATAATTTATTATTGTTTTAGTTATTTTTTTTAAGCTTCCTTTATTAATTTATTTTAAATAATCGCACTAACATGTATATTGTGTGTTTAACAGAAGAAATCTATTGATGGCAAGATAGCTCGGAACTCAAAAACACTTCTCCACCATTCTGGTTCGAAGCCCTTTTTGTATAGGCTTGAGGCACGACGTCAGGTAAAAGTATATTAATTTTGAAATTTTATACAATTTATTTATTATTATTGATTAATAAAATTTTCTTAATGTTTTTTTTCTTCAGGAGGGTTCTAAGTTCCTAGAGATTGACATGTTCGAGGACGTTTACGTTCGACCTGGTGATGAGACAGCTAAGCAGCTTCATGTAAGTATATGTAATTGTTATTATTTTTATATGTATGAATCGTTCAAATATTATTTATATTATGTTATTAAACATTATATGTTTTTTCCTTTATTATTACAGGATGCTATGGTGGAACAGCGCACTACTGTTCTTCAAGAAGCAACATCGCAACTTCCTCCGGAGACCTCGATCGAGGACGTCACGGTACTCGAGGATGCAGGTTTTCAGATCCTGACTAATGTCATGGATCAAAACTTCGGTCGTCGTCATGGCAAAGTTGTTCAGTGTATGGGGAAAGCGCGAGTTCGTGAGACGGGTGCCTCTTCTTCCAGATCGAACACAGGAGAGGTCAGTGTATTGAAGGAGGAAGTAACAACCCTAAAGGGTCAGCTTGCGGTCTAGAGCGAGCAGATGAGGGCCCGGGACGAGCAGATGAGGGCCCAGGACGAGCAGATTAAGGCCCAGGGCGAGCAGGTGAAGGTCTATGCCGGACATGTGAGAGACCTTGTACGAGCCATATAGACGTCCGGCCTCCAAATCTCGCTACCAGTACCTGATCTTCCTACACCTTCGACCTCTAAGCCACTTTGCCCTACTAATACCTAGTAGCTTGATGTATCAAACCTAGAAGACTACTTGTAGTTTTTTCTTTTTTTTTGTTTGGATACCTTGTATGTATATTTTTATATATTTTATAACTAAATACTTTTCCTCGGTTAATTAATTATTGTTTAGAGTTTAATTAAGATATTTATTAAAAATTAAAAAAATAATATTTTTGACCAAAACAAAAAAAAGAGGTTTGCGTGATGAAGATTCTACCTACGTCGCGAAAAGCCCTTTGCACGACGTCGGTAGAATCTTTGTCGCGCCAACCTTTTTGCGCGACGCATGCCCTGTGTCGCGCTAAGTGGCTTTGCGCAACGTATGACCTTCGTCGCGCTAAGTGGCTTTGCGCGACATATCCCCTACGTCGCGCAAAGAGGTTTGCGTGATGAAGATTCTACCTACGTCGCGCCAACCTCTTTGTGCGACGTAGGTAGAATCTTCGTCGCACAAACCCCTTCTGCCATTGCCTTGTCGCAACGGTTAGTGCGCGACAAAGGTGCGTTGAGTTAAGTTTTGCACGACGTTTTTTGACTTTGCGCAACGAAGAACCTGCATCGCGCAAAGTGTTTTTTGTACTAGTGGTAGTACTAAGTGGTGAGATGTGAATTATTTTAATAATCATAATTCATGCTTGATGGATAAGGATGAATCAAGTGCATAAAGGGACTAGGTTCAAAATCCTGGTTCGAATCAAAGACGCGAGACTAGATAATGGTTGAGTTTCTGCTAAGGAAGGGATTAAAATGACAGAGAGAATATCCAAGTAAATGCCGAGGAGGCACAGTCTTATCATGATTCTACCGTAGCAGATATGTTTAATTATCATGGGGTCCATCTCCGTAAATAGAAAAGGCTTTGCAACGTGAAAGCCTTTCAACTCAACAAATAACTCAAACGCTCTACGTGAAAACCCTTGTTATAAGTGAAACCCTTCTCACAGCTCTGAGAAAAATACTAACAATCCTAACCCTCATGTCAACACATCTTCAATTTGGAGAAGTAAACAACACTGTATTGACAACCAATGACATCTTCATTTTAGATAAGTAAACATCACTGGAGCTGTAAAATCAAGTGATTCAGGAGCATCTTCAATTTGGAAATGTAAACAACACTGCTTCGGGTTGGTTGGTTATTTATCAAAGTCTCGATCGACAAAGAGTTCTCAATTCTTTCGTCCAAAAAGGGTACTTCATTATTGATTACCAAAAAAAAGAGGTTACTTTATTAAATCCCCTAGCGAAGTGAGGTGTTCTATAATTAGTTACACTCTGATGCACTTCACAGTTTGACATTCAAACAGCCGAACTCAAGGCCACATATTCGTTCCTCAACCATACGTAGTCGCTTAAGTGTAGAAGTCAGCAGCGTATTTGACACCACCACCACCATCATATCTATTCTACTCACCTGATCAAGCTAGAATTCGAGTTGGCACGCATTAACAAAAAAAAAAAAAAAACAAAAAAACAAAAAACAAATGTAGTTAGTTCATAATCGGTTTTACATTACGTTTGCTTTATAATTTTTTTAATCAACAATATTTACAAATTATATATATATATATATATATTTATTTATTTTATTTATTTATTTATTTTTGATACAATGAAACCAAAGCTTCTTAATCACATCCACTAGCGGCTAGTCTCCCTCCGGCCGAGGAAAAGGAAAGAAAGAAGGACTTATGAGTAAAAAGCCAAAATATCTTAACCACCGCCACAATCAACAACTCCAAACATCAAACGTAGATCACACTTGTCCCTTCCCAGTCACGCTGGACCCACCAACTCATAAATCTTCCGCACACGTGTCAAATCCTTGTCATGGTTTGCATGGCACCACACCGCACCGCTAGTCCCCCCTCACTTTTATACACTCACCAACCTCTCCCTCGCCCCGCTGCTCTTTCTCTCCTCATCTTCCTCCACCGTTTCTTAACTAAATCTAGCACTGTCGGTTTTGTTGAACCGGTTCTCCACCCTTCATGGCGGTCCAACATCAGTCCAGGTTGATGATTGGTAACTATACTGTGTCGTGGATATCGTTGTTTTTGTTTGTACTGGTCATCCAAGCTATAGGTGGAGGCCGAGCCGCCCGGTTGGAGCGGTGGGACTCTGGAATCCGGTTGCCATCCGAGAAGGATAAACCGGAAGATGTTCATCACAAAGAACCGGGTACAAGATGGGCGGTTCTTGTAGCCGGTTCAAACGGGTATGGAAACTACAGGCATCAGGTAAATATAATATTTGTGCTAACCAAGGAAAGTTTATTTCATATTTATTTATTTTATTTATTTTTTATGTTTTATAAATATAACAACTGAAATTTCTTTGTTCTTGGGGATTTACACTTTAATATTATCGTGTATATTCAGGCGGATATTTGCCACGCATATCAGTTACTGAAAAAAGGTGGGCTGAAGGAGGAGAACATAGTGGTATTTATGTACGACGACATAGCCAAGCACTCAATGAATCCGAGGCCAGGAGTTATCATCAACCATCCTCAGGGTGGTGATGTTTATGCCGGCGTGCCTAAGGTACAACTTTTATTTTTTATTTTTTGAAATCAATATATAACTATTTGTATATGCAGATAGATCATATATATCTAATATAGTGTGTGAATTCTACATTTAATATTGTATACTTTGGTGTGACATGGATATGGATAGATTTTTTTTTAATATGCTTTCTTAATTTTGAACCGTTCATTCATTTTGTAAGTAATTAACAGTGGATAGGGGGGGGAAGCTTAGGTTTTTTTTTCTAACCACAGAGTGGTGAGCTAGTAGATTGGTAAGGACAAATCAAAAACTAATACAAGATTAAGATGAGGACATTCAAACTTTCATTTGGCCCTACTTATGCTTTTCTTTTAGTATTTCTTTATTCTTAAACCAATTAAAAGGATTTGACGTTCTTTCAGAAGATAAAAGAATATTAACAAGTCTGTCGTGCATATCCAAATCAAATTTTGCAGATGCCGAACCAAAAAAGAAAAAGATAAAAGCCTAACATATTCCATGGTTTAAAGGGGATTCCTGTGGGCTGAGCTTAAAAAGCAGTATCACTGCGGCAGTGTTTCATGTTTGACATTTTGGTTTTAACAACCTTTTAGGCAGTTTTTGATTAGACTTGTAAATGGGTCGAGTTTATTGGGTTTGGGTTGGATACCCGATCCGTTAAGTTAACGGGTCGTCTGAACCTAATTCGTTAAGTTAGCGGATCGTCCAAACCCAACCCGTTAAGTTAACGGGTCATCCAAACCCGACCTGTTAAGTAACTGGTTATCCATTTCACTCGTTAACAATTATTATTATTTTATTTTTTTTGCATAGAGTTTATGTTTTATTGTTAAGACTTAGACTGAAATTACTAAAACATCCTCAACTAACGGATGCTAACGGGTTGACCCAAAGTGATCCGTTAGTTAACGAGTTGTTAACGGGTTCACCTGTTAACGACCCAATCCGTTAAGCATCCACTCAAATACTAATATTAATGGGTCGGGTTAACGGGTCAGGTCCAAAATGCCAGGTCTGCTTTTGATAACCATTTTATTACTTAGGCAGTGTTTCAATTTCTGTGCTTCAGCTACGGGGAAATGACTCAAATGGGAAATGAAGAGCGGGGAAGGATTAGCTTTTCAAGATTTCATTTTCAATCATCCTTCTTTATTTTTTCCCTCATCCTGATCACCATCCCTCTTTACTCTTTTTCTCCATATACTTTTTGCATATCTCAAGCACAAATAAAAAAATAAAAAAAAAAAAAAAAAAAAAATAAAACCTATAATCAGATAAGATGGAATCAAACTCTTCCTTTTTAAACCAAAACAGTCCTTTTCTTTAGGGTGGTGCTATCCACACACTAATTTTTACCTCCCACATACTCCTTGTTAATTTTTGTCCTTTGATTTTCTTCAATTCATTTGATCCAATAGTAGGAAATTGAGAAGGTTGTGAGTGTCAAGTAAAAGAGGTGTGCAGATAGGATAACCTTTTCTTTAAGGCAACTCTAAAATGCTGCTAAGAACATTCTTTCATTTTGTTTGGAAAACTAAGATCTATATATCTATGATAAGTTAGATTATATATTTGTCATGTTAGTTATGTGTACAGGTTTCGCTTCTCTTACTTTCTTCCCTTCCCTTCTTGTTCTTTATACGATACAACCATAAGAGTAGGAGAGGATCAAATTGCCATGATGGCGTCTCGACACAATAATTTAATAACATGTGGAATAAGATCCATCAAAGTCCTTTTCCAGGATGTTCTTAATCATTGGAGTTGCAAGTTGCTTTTTGCCTTTAGTCTCATTCACATTTTTGCACCAATGGTTCTAGTAGGAGAAGACGATTAGTGCAAGAAAACAAGGTGGTATTGCAGCATCTCTATTAATGTGTGACCTATGTTTCTTGTGTAATTTAAGCTTTGCTTTTTGAATGCTTTGTGGATGCTTGAGAAGGGGATTTTTTTAACCCTGAAAAAGGGAGTTGTTTGGCACTTCGAATAAAATTATCATTTTACCCTTTATATTCTACTTTGTTTTTTCTAAATGTTTTCATGATTCAATTTTATTTATGGTGGCCCTTTGCATCCATAAACTAAATTCGGAAGTTTGACAAAATAATTGGTGATTTGAAGAGTATTTTCTGAGTTATTACCCTTATTGAATTTTTGTGTTTAATTTAATTAATCTCCAATCCCCAAAATCTTTGGGTTGAAAAAAGAAAAATTTTATTCTTGTGATTACAAACTTGTCTTGTATTTTTGTATAGTTTTGGGTTTTTTGGTGAAGCATGAGGCCCAAGCTAAAGTAACAGAAAATAGCCTGGACCAAAAACACCAAGATGGTTCTCAAACAAGGCATTTAATGAAGAGCCCAAGGCCTAATTTTTTAGAGCTACTAGACTCACCCATTGTCTTATTTATCCACCCACATTATAATTCCACCCACCATAAAAAGTTAAAAAATTAAAATGCTATTTTCCCAGCCACTTTTATTCCTAAAGTATCCTCATTAGCACTATTGCTCCGCACTTGTCTTTAAAATTATTGTACCAGTGGAGAAATAATTTTAGAGCATTCAGTGACATACTTTGCA